ACCATCATCATCGGCATGCTCATCATCATCATCAGCCGCATCAGCATCAGCATCATCATCAGCATTGTATCCGGCGTCATCAACATCAGCAGCAACAGCATCAGCTTCCTCATCATCATGTTCAGCATCATCATCAGCATCATCATCCTACTCGGCGCCATCATCATCAGCAACAACATCATCAGCAGCATCCTCATCATCATCCTGACCATCATCCACCATTCCATTCCATACCCCTCTCAAAGTAACCTTCCTCCTCAACATCCCTCTCACCCACTCTCACGCTGTCTCTACTCCTCCTCGTCCGCATCATCATCTTCCTTCTTCTCCTCCGATCCTACTATCCTGTCCCTCCTCCTGTTTCTCCTCCTGCTCCTCCTCATCCTCATCATCATTCGCCTCATCCTGCTCCTCGTGCTCCCCTTCATACTCCTCTTCCTCCTCCTGCCCGAACCACCAACAGAATCACAGTTCTCATCTTCAACATCAGCATCGCATTGTCATCGTCAACATCCTCATCATCCTCATCATCATCATCATCATCATCATCATCAGCAGCATCATCATCATCATCATCATCGTCAGCATCATCAGCATCATCAGCATCGTCATCATCAGCATCATCATTATCAGCCTTGCCAGCAGCATAAACAGTATCATCCTCATCAGCATCAACACAACCACCACCAACACCATCAGCACCAGTTCATAATAATCAGCATCATCATCATCTGCATCCTCATCATCATCAGAATCATAATCATCAGCATCAGCTACATTTTCACCACCACCACCATCACCATTAGCATCATTAGCATCAGCAGCAGCAGCAGCATCCTCATCAGCATATGATCATCACTATCCTCATCATAATCATCATCAGCATCATCAGCATCATCATCATCAGCATAATCATCAACAGCATCATCAACATCATCAGCATGATGAACATCATCAGTATGAATGTGATCATAATCGTCATCATCAATTTCTCTTCGTCCTGGAAGACGGGCAATAGAACAGCGAGAACGGCCCCTACCGTGAACTGCCCAGCGCACCACACGTTGGTGCTGGGGATGGTGACGTCCGTGGTGGAGGCCGTGATGCTGGCGCGGGCCCCTCTGATCATGCATCCTCGGCAGAGGACGGGGGAAGGAAGGGGAGAGGAGGAATGAGGGGGGAGGCAGGAGAGGAGTGGGCAGTACAGAGAGGAGGAGAAAGGGGGGAGGGAAGGAGGAAGAGGAGGGGGAGGGAGGGACGAGGGAGAAGGGAGGGAGGAGGGAGGAGAGGAGAAAGGGATGGAGGTCGGAACTGGAGGAAGAGGAGGAGGGGGCGGGAGGCAGCGAGGGAGCGAGGGAGCGAGGGAGCGAGGGAGGCGGGAGGGAGGGAGGGAGGGAGGAGGAAGGAAGAGGAATGGAGGACCAGAGTAAACCAACGATGCATCCAAGATGCTGCAGTTTATCCTCACGTTGCAAGTCCCCTCTTCATTAGTCACGACATGCTCAATGAAGGATTTCGCCTGCGCCTAAGCTACAGCAACAGTTTCAATCAGACGTGTGGCTGGCGCCAAAGCGGAAACGACACGCTCAACGAAGGATGTCGACGGCGCCTAGGCTACAGCAGCATTCTTAATCAGACATGTGGCCCACGCACCGGTCGGAGTACCATTCCGAGACAAGCGCGTCGCCAGAATGCAAGTGTCACGCCGACTTCGCGTGGGCTGGGCTTGATGTCACCGAAATCCTGCTGACGTTAGGTGGGTAGTCCGCGTTGGAGCGGAGGGAGTTGTGTCAGAAGCGCCTCCTCGCAAGACGAGCGCTCTTTGGGCTTGCCGTTCATGCGAGAGCCCCGTTTTGAAAAGGATCTGCCACGCATGCTTTTGCGAGTGCAGATGCGATAATATATGATCACAAAGATCAGCGATGTTTCAGCGAGTCATTGAAAAAGATCCACCTCCATCTTCGGCCCCCTATCCGTGTAACCATTCCACTTCTGGTCTTTGAAGACGTCTCCAAAAAGCCGCCCTCCACCCGCGCAGGTGTTGCATTATTCAAGCTTCCCATAGCAGGATGCGGGGACGTCCCAAGCGAGAGCCCATGTTGAAAAAGAGCCGCCTACCATCCCTACTACTGCTGCAACATGTTGAGTCGAGTGTGCGCGGCGCTATAGGGAGAAGCACATTGTGACAACCAACCGCGTGGTCTGGTCAGGGTCTGGTCAGGGCCCCCCAAAGGCCGAAAACAGCCAAAACCCTCTCATGGGAAATTTCTTCGCGACGATAACGAACCTTGGGAGGGCAAAAGACAGAGGACGAGGACGGCAGAGGTACGGACCAAGGACTGGAGAACATCCTTCAAGAGCATGAGACCCTCCGCTGGCCAAACCACCCCAAACCATAAGATCACCGAGGGCACCCTTCCCCAGGATGCACAAGAACATACGACGCACACGAAGAACACCAAGGTACCCTCCCCAAGCCGACCTCGATCATATACTTCGGTCCGACCGTGGGGACGTGACCAGCCCGTGACAGCATCGGCGGAACCAGGCCACGCGCTGGGCGCAACTCCAAGAACGGGCCCCTGAACGCCGGCACGAGGCGAGCGGCGCACACGGGCAGTCCCGGACCAGCGCACTTCTGTTACTTCCCATGACCTGGGCGAGGTAAAAGATCACAGCGGCCAGCTTCTCTGTGCTTTTGGCATCTGCATCGGCTACATGCAAGAGTGACCCAACGCAAGAGTGACCATTGGTGCGCGGCTTTAGGAGAGGTGCGGGTGAGCCAAACCCAAGCGCGCAGACAACTACTATCGGATCGCACTCAGCCATCCGAAAGCACCGATGTGCCCCACCACAGGTCACTCTGGCGAAGGATCACTCTTACTTGGGAGCCCACAAAAGACGTACGCGCCAAGCATGTACATGAACACGGCCCCTTGACCCGCGAGACCGGCCGCGTGATACGACCATTCGCGCAATGCGAAATCTCGAAACCAGCGTGGATTCATGTACGTGTACGTCCTTCTTTCGCTCCTGACTTACGTGTAGCCGACTGCAGCTGGCGGCGCGCAGATGGGGGTAGGGGGGGGAAGGCTTCTAAGAAGCAGGGGTGTTTCTAGGAAGCCTCCCCCCCCTCCCCCTGCCCCCCTCTGCGCGTGGCCGAGGCCGCTTCTCGGCCCCAGGGCAATCAAAACACCAACTCGGGATGGAAGGCCGGCGCGGTGGAACGGGTCGAGCCCCCGAGGGGCCTACGTCAGCGAAGAAAGTACCACGTCGGAGGAGAGGGGCCCCCCTCATCAGTGGAAAGGAATCCCTACGCAGCCCCGCCGATATCAAATCGAGGGGGAGGACGAGGAGCAGAGGGAGCAGAAGGAGAGGAGGAGGAGGAGAGGGAGGAGGAGGAGGAGGAGGAGGAGGAGGAGGAGGAGCAGGAAGAGGAGGAGGAGGGGAGGCGGCTCGACCTCCCTTTGTCTTGCTGTGGTCTCCCATCGACTCGCTCAGGAGGACGAAGGCAAGGATGGTTTAGGCCCTCCTCTCCAATCTCCTCCTCCGCCTCCTCCCCCCGCTCCTCTCCCTCCTCCTCCTCCCTCTCCTCCTCCTCCTCCTCCTCCTCCTCCTCCTCCTCCTCCTCCTCCTCCTCCTCTTCCTCCTCCTCCTCCTCCTCTGCAGCTCCCGACCCCCATCCTCGCAGGCGCAGGCGTGTGGCGTGTGCTCCTCGTCGCCCTTGGAGCAGCCACCAGCGCGTGTGACAACGAAAAGAGCGACGACGACAACGTGGTCGAGATGATGAAGATGATGATGGTGATGATGATACTGCTGCTGCTGATGATGATGATGGTGGTGGTGGTGATGGTGATGGTAATGGTAATGGTGATGGTGATGATGATGATGATGATGATGATGATGATGCTGCTGATGATGACCACGATGATGATGATGATGATGATGATGATGATGATGATGATGATGATGACGATGCTGGTGCTGATGATGATGATGATGATGAAGATGATGATGATGGTGATGATGATGATGATGACGATGATGATGATGGTAATGGTGATGGTAATGGTGATGGTGATGATGATGATGCTGATGATGACCACGATGATGATGATGATGACGATGATGATGATGATGATGATGATGATGATACTGGTGGTGATGCAGATGATGATGGTTGTGATGATGATGATGACGATGCTGATGATGCAGATGGTGATGGTGATGATGCTGATGGTGATGATGATGATGCTGATGATGATGATAATGATGATGGTGATGATGGTGATGATGCTGGTGATGATGGTGATGATGACGATGGTGGTGGTGATGGTGGTGCTGGTGATGTTGCTGGTGATTGATGATGATGATAATGGTGATGGTGATGGTGATGATGATGATGATGACAGTGATGCTGATGGTGATGATGGTGATGATGAAGAAGATGACGGCGATGATGATTATGATGATGATGGTGATGGTGATGGTGAAGGGGATAGTTATGGTGATGCTGGTAATGATGATGGTGATGATGATGCTGGTGATGATAATGGTGATGATGATGATGATAATGGTGGTGATGATGATGGCGACTATGACCCCGATGGTGATGATGATGATGATGGTGATGATGACGACGACGATGATGATGATGATGATGATGATCATCATGATGGTGGTGGTTAGGATGATGATGAGTATCATTACCATGATGTTGACGATGCTGATGATGCTGATGATGATGATGACGATGACGATGATAATAACAATGATGATAGTGTTGATGATGATGGTGATGCTGATGATGATGGTAATGGTGATGGTGATGGTGATGATGATGATGGTAAATGATGATGATGATATTATGATGATGATGATTATGATGATGATGATGGTGGTGGTGGTGGTGATGATGATGATGATGATGATGATGATGATGATGATGATGATGATGATGATGATGATGATGATGATGATGATGATGATGATGATGATGATGATGATGACGATCATCGCAGTTCGCGCAAGCTGGAGAATGCAATGGTGTAGCGTACCCCTCTCCTCCGCAGGCAGAGGGTGGCGCGTTGCTGCGCGTCGCTGCGCGCTGCTGAGCACGCCGGTGCTCCCGGAGTATATCCGATAATCACGGCGCCACACGAGATCCGACGTCTTGAAGCACCGCAAGGTCGCGAAAGAATCACGACTGGGCTGGCATGAAGGAAACGGGTCCTGAGGGAAACGGGACTCTTGATTCTGAGCTGCTTTCTGACGGTCCTGGGTCCCGGGGAGGGCCCCTGGGAGCTCGAAAACGGCGAAAAATCTCAAAACCCGATGAGGAGGAGGAGCTGTCGACCCCACCCTGACGCCCGGGCTCTGAGGAGCCGGATCGCTCCGTGAGGCCCCCGAGGGACCTATTGGCGGGGCAGAAGCGCGCGCCGCGGTTCTCTCGCGCCACCCCAGGCCCGAGGGCCCCGCAACGGATCCCGCCTCACGCCTTCTTGCACGGCGCCTGCGCCTGGACAAGGAGGCCAGCTATACACCTACAACGATCCTGGGCCCAGGATGCACCTGGCCAGGATCGCTGTATCGAAGATTGGCAGAACACAATTGATCAAACCGCTCTTTAGTGAAAACTGCCAGGGGCACTCCACACGCGAACGGCACCGCATTCCGAGCGGACCCCAGCGTGGCAGCCAATCGGCGTCCAAAAACATCGAATGTATCGGGCGAAACGTAGGTTGAGTACCGAAATCGACTGGGGACTGCACCGGCACGCTTCACTGGCAATGTCGAGTGAACCAGCCCGAACGTCCTAAGTCGACTTGGTCTGGGAGGGCGTTCTCTCAAAGCCCGAGCGTGGGTGTACAGTTGGCGCCCTCCGAGCCTGCTCCGGCTCGCCCGCCCCGAACACAGCCCCGACGGCGGAGGAGAGGGCGCCCTCCACCGACTCGAGCGCGGCGGAGATCTGCTGCGCGGCGTCTTCTGCGAAGCTCGTGTCGGCCCCCGCCTCCGTGATCACCGGGGCCCTCTTCTGGCTCTCGGCCAGCTCCTCCTGACGAGGCGCTCGCTGGCGTTTCACTGCGCATCCGTGGACCCGGCGCGCGGGCGCCAGGTCCACAGACCGGGGAAACACACCACCGCACCACGAGGCCACGGGCCGCCTGCCTTGGCGACGGAGCGCGCCGGTTCCACGCGCCTGCTGCGGTTCATATGGTCGCGCCTCCACGGCCCCAGCAGGACCACCCACGACGGCCCGAGGAGCCCAGGAGGCACCCCAGAAGCTCGCCCTGGCGAGGCTGCCGACGGCTCGGAGGGGCCGCAGATGGCCCAGAAGGGCAGACCCGCCCCCCGCCCCTGCGCCCAAGGAGCCCAGAGGCACCCCAAAAATCGGGGGCGCGCAAACCTGGAGTAGCGATCCGTGGATTTGGCGCGCGGTCGCCAAATCCGTGGATCGGGGGAGGTGCCCTCCCCAAAATGCGGCCGGTGCCGCCTCCTTCGGCGGCGGACATCCGCGACCTCCCCTGGAAACGGGACCCGTCGCTGATCCACGCCCCCTTGGATCCATGTCCGCGATATAAGCCCGACGAGAGCCCTCCTAGGGAGAGGCTCCACGCGGCTCGGAGGGACCCCCGATGGCTCCGGGAGAGCAGGCCCGCCCCCCGCCCGCCGGCCGCCCGCGGCCCTCCCCACCTGCGGCCCCGCGGGCCTTCGCGCGTGCCATGAACTCCGGCTTGGGTTTTTGCGTGCCACCTGCGGCCCCACGGGCCTTCGCGCATGCCATGAAGCGTGGTAGGCGCTGCGGCCCCCGATGGGCCGTAGCGCCACATGGAGGGCCGGAGGTGGGGTGGGGTGGCTTGCTTTTGTTTGGTCGACCAGAGACCTCCGAGAAGGAAACGCAAGGCACCAAACGCGCGCGCAAGAACTCCCCCGTGCGCCCAGATCTCCGACGTCGTGATGGTTCCGCAGCTCACTCGAGGACCCCTTCCCCAGGACCGGCCTTGCAACCCGAATCGTTATGCGAACTGCCCCGGGGCCCAGCACGGGTCTCCAGAGGCCGAGAAGTAGGAAGCAAAGCTCCCGTGGCGATCTTCCCTCGACGAGAGGAGGTCTGGGTCACCTCGATCCTCCATCTCCTCCTCCCCCTCTTTGGAGCGGCCCTCCTGGAGGCCAACGGAGGCGAAGAGGGTGACGAGGTCCAGCATCCCTCTCGTGCGTGAGCAGTGGATGGGAAGTGGCCGCGCGGCCGGGCACAGACTATCACCTTGCGCAGCTCAAGCCGAGATGGAGATTGACGGCGACGAGGGATGAGGGGGAGCGAGAAAAGGAAAGAGAAGGGAAAAGAGGGAGAAGAAAGAGGAGGAGGGAGAAAGGGAGGGAGGGAGGATGGATGGCGGCCACTGCGGGCGAGTAGATAACGGGCGCTGCGGGATCAGCGGAGGGAGGACAGCCAGGAGGAGAGCCCACCTCGCCCTGCCTCCGCACCCAATCGCCCTCGGAAGCAGCTCGGGCAAGAGAGAGAGGGATCCGACATCTCCAGCTGTCTCCTGGAGCCAGCTGAGACAGGCGGAGAGGGGAAGCACGTAAACACCAGAAGAAGTCCCAGGCGCAAAATGGATCCGCCCAGGGGTCTAAAACAGGGCTAGGATCGGGATAAATCGCTCCAGAGCGTTCCGGAGCGCTCTCAGAGCGTTCCGGAACGCTCTGGAGCGGCCGCGGCGCCGAATACGTCCTCCAAACCCGCCGATTCTCAGAGATTTCGAGTTATCCCGATCCGATTTTGTCCCGATCTTCGCGTCGTTTTAGGGTCATCCGGGCATCCAGCCCGTCCGTGAAAGGCATACCGAGTCTGTCCGCGCGGTAGGCGGTGACCTGCGAGATCCGCGCTCGGCCCAGACTCACTTCCGGCCGCGAGGGCCCTCGTCTCGCCAGACACATGGGAGGCCTGGGCAGATGGAGAAGTCGGACAAGGCAGGAGGAGGGCCTCGGGGAAAGAGAGACTCTGCGGACCACCCTCCGCTCTGGAGCATCTCTGGATCGAACCCGGGAGCAAGGGGATGACGAAAGCCTGGTATGCCCCCCCTGGCTCCCACAGAGGCTGCCCCCACTGACTCTCAGAGGGAAGGAGGAAAGGAATGAGGGGAGGGAGGGAGGGAGGGAGGGACGACGAGGAGGAGAGGGAGGAGGGAGAATGAGGGGGAGTCGGAGGAGGAGGAGGAGGAGGTCGGTCTTGCGTCACCAACGCGGAAGACAGCAAGCGGGACCGCTGCACGCCAGAGGGAGGGCAGCTCATCCCAGTCAGTTTCGAGACGGCAGGGCGCCCCCGAGACGCCACCGCGGCGTACATCCGCTCCTGGGGTCACGACGTGGCCCCCGCGGAGCGGACCGAGATCCTCCGGTACGGGTGGCAACAGCTGAGCACCTGGCTGCACCTCGGCAACGCCGAGACCATCATGGCGGCCTCGGGGCAGTCATTGCTCCACGAGGGCCCCCGTGCAGCGTGCAGCACCGCCGGCGCCACGAGCAGCACGCAGGACACGTGCCACGCCCAGCAGCAAAGGCGCGGCGGGCACCAGCGAGACCACCACCTCGGCCACGGCCACCGACGGCACCGACCGCCCCCCGTCCTCACCCTCCCCTCCCCTTCCCCTCCCCTTCTTTTCGGGACGGCCGCCCTTGCCCGTCAGTTTTGCCTCGTACTCGTCCTCTCCCTGCACCCCAGCTGCT